GTAATAAGCTGTAGGACACGATCAGGATAGAATTGCATTTTTTTAAAATGTATAGAGTTGCTGTCCACAGGAACCATAATAGCCACTGTAAAAAAAATAAACTGTCAAATAGATGGATGGTTTTGAAAAAATGTATGTGTCACTTTATATAGTGTCTTTGAACAATGTGTCCCAATGTGCTGAGTTCAGCAAGTGAAATTAATGACCATATTTTCTATCATGACTGGTTCAGTACTATCCTGGATTAGTAAAAATGGTGAGAACTGTAAAAGTGTAAGGTGAAAAGAGCTCTGCTGTTAAATGCCAATCAAAATCCAACTTGTATCTTTATAACGAATAATAGAATATGTTAATGTTAGCATATTTAGACTGAATGAAATTTCATTCACTAACTCTTTGACCCATCATTGCTAAACGTTGTTAAGATATTCTCACAGATCCTGCATTTGACACAGTACTGATCTCTCCATGTGAACCTTCTGCTCTTCCTGAAAATGTCCTGAATTTTATTGCTATAACATTTAGAAAGCATCATTTCCTGTGCTTGTTGCTGGGTCTTAAAATGGCTGACTTAGGCATGACAGTCTTTGCTATGAATGTTCCTGCTACGCCTCGTATGACATTCTCAGGCACAATCCCCACTGTGAAAAAGCTTCACTCCTGATGAAAGGGCTCGAGATCTCAGGTGCCAGACCCCAGGTCTGTTTAGCTCTGTGACCCCAGTCACTCCATTCTTTCCCTGTATGTGTCACTTTACACAGTCTGTTTGAAAGTAGGGGGTGCCTTGCAGCTCTGCTAAATTAAGGATGTTTATACACACAGTGCCATTAAAAAAGACCTATACCTAGTGGTATAAAAACATCCACTTCAACAAGAAACTTGTTCTCGTTTGGATGTGACCTTTTAGCGGAATGTGGTTAAGTATTAAATTACTGACAATACGCTGAAACCCAGCTGTTTAAAAGGATATCGTAACAAACAGTGAGCATCTTAAGGAAAACTTTTTTTTATTCTTTCTTCACTGGCGCCCTCTGCTGACCATACACGTATTTATACCGGAGACCCCCTTGCACTCGTTCCAGAATTTAATCGATGTCACGATTAACTAACAGCCAATCATCCGTATCAAAGCATGGCAGTTGGGACAAATAAGTTTTCAGTGGCGAGAGGGGCAAACTCGTTGCTGTTCCCATTTGAGACAAAACCACACATACGAAACACAGATGTGAATATTCACCTCGTTTTTTTTTTACAGTTTTTCTCAGTTGCTTTGGTGCATTTCTCACAACAGACTTAACAGTTGCATAACAGCAAGTGCATTTTTCAAAACAC